CAAGAGAGTGGATAGGATGAAATTGATAAACCCCAACAACATATTCATCCATATATTTCAATTCACGTGTTTTATTTCTTCTTGCCCATTGATAATCACATGCATACATATTTACTTTTCAGTCTATTACATTTGAAACTTATAACAATTTGTTCACAGGTCTTAATTAATCAACAAAATCACACAATTGTCTAGGTCGTGAGTCCTTTGGGAGAACGATACTTGGTCTTACTAGGTTTATTACTTGATACGATTCGGTTACACTTGCCGAAGGTTAACAAGTCTTTGACTCCGTTTTTGGGGATTGAAGATTTGTTCATCAGGTCCCTCACAAGTTCTTGAATCTACAAGCATTCAGAAATGAAGGGTTTCTTTTCCAAGAATGGCTTGCACAATAGGGTCTTGCAAAATTCGTTCAAATGACAGGTGATTGCTATCCTGATCTGGAAGAAGTCTTCTATGTCAATCTGAAGGTTATCAATGGTGTTATATGCTCCCGATAAAAGGTGTTGATATTAAAAGTGATGATGAAATGTGGCTATCTTTTACTGGTCTCAAAGTAGAAGGCTACAGGTCTCATGAAAGAAATTCTAATGTCAACAAATGGACCAACAACAAAAAGATTTATAAGGATTGTCTAAGAAATCAAAGAAGGCAAATGATATACAAGTTGTTCCTGCATGGTGGAATGAAAAGGGAAGAAAAAATGTGTGCCTTTGTACTTGCTTGAGTAATACTACTTGGAAGAGGTATACGTGATCGTCTAACTACTGAAGATGTATTTTTACTTCATGCCATAAAGACCTAGATACCAACCAACTGGGTTACTACAATGAAATAAAAATAATAATTTAATTTATATTTTATTTAATTTAATTTAATTTAAAATAAAATTAATTTATATTTTCTTAGATTAAATTTTATATATTTTTTGTATTTCATTTTTAAAATGTATAAAATATATATTTTTTAATATTTACGAGTATCTGCGAGTACCGGGCGGGTTGCGAGTAGAGTTTTTATTTTCGGGTCGGGTTGCGGGTAGGCACTATCCGTACCCGACCCGACCCATTGTCATCCTTAGTTGTCATCATCATCATCAATAGAGGAGCCTGGCGTATGTTACTAATGATTTGTTGAGTAGGAGCGAATTACCTTTCCACTAAGGGAGTCAATTTGTTCTAATCGAAAAATGACTGATCGTGAACAAATACCAACACTGTTTATTTTTTGGAATTGTGATTCCTTTTTTCTACCTTGACATATTATTTATAACCTTCTTTGTTTTAATAGTTCCTATATTGGTTAATATTATATTTCCTTATTTTGAGGATTTTTAAAAAAAGACGAGATATTGTGGTTATTTAAGATATATTTTGTAATCACATAATAGTAGGATGATAACAAAGATGAAGTTAGGTGGATCAACTTATCACTCGGTAAAAAAAAGACGAACAAAAATAGCATTTTCAATCTAGTAGCCCGAATTAACTTAGTCTGCCAAACACGGCAGACAAACTTCATTATAAAAAAAATTGAACTCACGCCACAATACTTCATATTAACTCAACTCAATCAATGTCTAATAGAACTCGATCAATATCCGATACAACTCGGTCAAGATTTGAAACTGTTCAGACAAAAGTCCATTTTCATGTAAAAAGTAGAAAATTTCAATCATTACATGTGATACTAGATTTTCAATCACAAAAAAGAAAACAAACGAACCAGTCCACGAGCCGACAAATAGATTATAAAATTTAACATGACTTCAATTAGTAGACTAGCATGACCTAATCCATTTTTTATTGTCGGACTTAAACGAGTTAGTTTGGTTCGTTTTGTCATGCATAAATAATAATAAATTCTACTTTTTAGTAATATTGTTGAAAAACTATAATTAGTTATTATAAAACAAAAGATAAATTACAATTTCAAATCTTTAATTCAATTTAGTACATTTATTATATCTTATATATATATATATATATATATATATATATATATATATATATATATATATATATATATATATATGATCTACGGACAAATTTCAATAGAAAAAGACAAAATATTTATTTTATAGGTCAATTTAAATAAAATAAAATGTAGTTAAGGAATGTAAAAATATCTTAATGATTTTATTTAATTTATAATATTATTCTTATTAGTAATGGAGAAATTTAATTTATTAAATAAACTAATAATAATATTAAATGTATATTTTATTTTTTTAAGAACAATAAATATTAAAAAATATGTAATAAAGAACTTTGAACTTAAATGTTCATATATTTTTAATTTAAAAATAAAAGAACAAGGATGGCCCTCTTTGACTGGTTAATAACCTTCATTATAACAACTAAACAAGAAAAAACTATAATTGAATTGAAGCACCTATCTGAGTTAGTACATTCCAACTCATTTTATTAATTATCTTAAAATAAAGATTACTGTTAACAATTTCAAATTTTGAAAGTACATAACGTAGTCCAATTGTATTTCATTTTGCAATATATTATGTTCAGTACGTATATTTTAATAATATAAAGTAGATAATTAGTTGTATATATTAACTATATAACTACGTAATTTATTATAGAGTCAAGTGATAATTTAATTAATATTTATGAAACGGTAAGTTATATGATAGAACTGAAAGATTAGCATAACTAATAAATATTTAATATTATCTTTGTCTTTACTGTATATTTTTTACTTTAAAAAATAAATTAATATATTTTTTTAATTTAATAATATTAATTATTTTAAGGAGTTATTGTTAGCCAAAAATATTATTTAACAAATTCAAAAAAAATTAATGATTATTGGATAAAACAAATTATATTTATTTAATTTTTAAGTTTGAAGATTAAAATTTGAAAGATGAATGAATTTCAATTTGGTTGGTATCAAAGTTCATAATTCAAAACATATTTAATCCTAAATATAATGTTTATATATTAAATATTTATACACTATTTATATGTTAACTGATAATTTTCTTAAAGAATAATTTAGATGAGTATTTTAAGTAAAAAGCTAATAAAAAACGCACTAATGTTTTTTAAAGATAAATTTTTATTTACTCATTACTATAACTCGTTAAAATTTCAATTTCTTTAATACACGATATTTTACGGTATTGTTTTTAGTATTATTTTATAATAAATATGAATATTTTAATTGTATAAAATGATATAACAAACTTTTTTTGTGAAAATTTATTAAATAATTAATTATACTATAAATTAAGAGAAGGGTGAAAGTTGAATTGTCAGTTACACGCAATTTAGTGCTTTCTTTCGTTCGTGTAATCTCGTCATGACTGCAATGCTGGCCTTCATGGTTTCAACAGCATCATCAATAGGACAAAACTATCGTTACAGATAATTGACTATACGAACCCCACTTCTAAGAACATGAACCTGCTTTTTTATTACTCTCTTTAAGATAATTTTTTCATATGTATTTAGCAAAACTATCTGTCTTATAATAAATCAATGATCATTAAGCATAAAACAAATTATTTGGTGATTTCTTACATTTATTTCTTCTTACTTTCAGTAAAAGGTGAAGGCATTTATTCAAAAAACCGTAATTTAAGAGTGTCCTATATGTCATGTTTAAAGTTAATTTAATATATTTTATTAAAATAAAAAAATTTCTGAATTGGTCCTACCCTTAAAATAATTCTCTTTAAGACAGAAAACTTAATATTAAAATCTAATTTATGAATTCTTGAACTAAAGTGGTTTTTGTGTAGAATTCTTAAATTTATGGGAGAAATTCAAGATATATAATTTATTTAAACAACCAATACATTCAGACAGTTTAAAGAAAACTGTAAATTTTTTTCTTATTGGTTAGTTATTGGAAAAAGATGGTTGACAGCTACTACTCTATCAGAGTTAATTATTCTGTTTGATAAAAAATATTAAATTAAAATATTTTTTACAAAAATTAATAAAAGTAGTTATAAAATGATGATATAGAATGAGACGGTTCTGAACCATCATAAGTTTATACAACTAATTTTCCAGCTTATACTGGTAATACAAATGACCCAATTTGACTCACTAAATTAAATGAAAAGGAAAAAATGATTTCATTTTACCCTTTTCTGATACTTTTAGAGGATCTAATAAGTTATTTTAGCTGTCCCACACTAAATCCAGGTTATTTTACAGGCAAACGCATAAAAAAAATTCATGATGTATATATAATTGTAATGCATTTTACGTCTGCCAGTCTTTAACTACTACGAATATTATCATGAAAATGATAACTTGTTTTGACACTCTTGATAGATAAAAATCATATTTATAAATAATTTATAATTATTTTTACTTTATTATAAAGACCACTTTTTTCGAAAATATCTTAACTCAATGTCTGATTTTAATTATACTCTTTTATCAAAGGACATTTTAAGAAAATATTAAAATATTAGTAAAATTTAATATAGTTAACTGATTTTCTTGAAGTAATTGTATTTATAAATAAGAATAAGTTAGTAATAAATATGATAACTAATATAATCAGAAAATAACCAATGAAATTGAAAGGTAAAAAAATTAAAGTTAATGGAAACGTAATATGCAATTTCTAATCTTGAGAGTCGCAGCTACATGTCATTCATGTGTTTCTAAACATTTGTCCAAAGCCATCTCCAAGCACAGAATTCTGTAACAAACTCATCATTTCATTTTCCTTTCTTGTTCATAAACAATAAAGAAAATGAATAAAAAAACAACTTTTTTTTTCAGTTGGTTATTTAGAGTGGAAGGTGAACAGTCACAAAAACAACAAATCTGAGCCCTTGGATACTGTTATGACAACTGCCACGTGTCTCGTGAATCTCCTTTGTTTACACTTGATTTTATAATAAGAACCTAGGACTCCACCCCTTTCTTCACAGACACAAACACTGAGAGTTGAGACCATATTTCTCGACACACAATCACAAAATCTCTCTCATTCCCTCTCTCAAATTTTGCATGGAGTTTAGTCCAAGCTTCCCTGAGAAAATTCACTACCTTTCTGGGATTTTCCCTGAAATCAAAACAGAGATTCCTGTGTCAGAAGAGAACAGCAGCTTCATGTACCAAAACAATTTCAACCATTTTCAGCAGCACCATCACCTGAACGAGTCAAACCATGGCCACCCTGAAAGTTTTTTCACAGAGGGTTCTTCCTCCATCATTACCCCATTATTCTCTTTGTCCTCAGCAGCCCATTCTTCAGGTGGCCCATCTTCCTACAAATCCACTTACCCCAATGAGTCCCTGAAGGGAGGGTATGCCAACCCCTACTACCCCATGGCCTATGCACCAAACAACACCAATGCTCAATCCATGCATGGTAACAACAACAAGGTCATCTGGGACTTTTCCCAGAAATCTCCCCTTCACTCTGGCCCAAGTGCAACTTCAGATCCTCAGGTGGGTACTTCTCTGTCACCATCATTTGCTTTCATCAGTCATTGGAACTGGAAATGTTAATGCTAACAAACCTGTGGTTGCTTTTAACATGAAGCAGGTGCAGAGGAAGAGTAATGCCCAAATTCAGCAGAGGATGACAAACATCATCAAAGGGCAGTGGAGTGCTGAAGAGGACAGGTATATACCAAATTGTATCTCTCTCTCTTAATTATCTTTTTCTGTCTGTTATTAAATTCTTTGCAGTTTCATATGAGGCTTTTAATGAAAATTTTCCTCATTGATTTAGGTCCTGTCTTTAGTGAGGTTTGTTAGTGTTTTTTTGTCCCTTATTCATCTGCTTGGACAAATGGTGAACGCTTTATGTGGTTTTGTAGCGTCCTTGTCCAATTGGTCAAACGCTTCGGGATCAAAAAATGGTCGCACATCGCCAGGTTGCTGAATGGCAGGGTTGGGAAACAGTGCAGAGAGAGGTGGCACAATCATCTCCGGCCAAACATTAGGGTTACTTTGTTTACTCTCTCTCTCTCTCTCTTACACATTCATAGTTAAATATAATCATTTTCCAGCAATATTTCATCCTATATATTTGCGTAATGCATCATATGGTTGATCTAAATAGTCATTGAATATTTGATAGAAATTAATGGTGTCATCTACAAAATACTTAATGAATTCTGATATGAAAAATGTTACCATAACAAATTTTCATAATAAGAATAAAATAGTTATAAAAATGTAAATTGTTATATCTTTTAAAAATAAAAATAAAAGAAAAAAAATAATAAATAAAAAGAATAATATCAAATAAATATAAAAAATTTAGGTGTGAAAAACAAATATTTTTCTTCTAATTAGTGGTAATTGTTATATCACCGGCTAGTTACACAAGAGGCATTTACCCAATCATGTGTCTCCATGTGGAGAGTTCATTTCTCAAATATTTTTTAGGATCTTAAACTTCCCTTAAATTATAATGCTTTATATATTAAATTAAATTCATAAAACGGATTGAATTATTGTATTTATATAATTTTATTACAGACATTTTCAACTGACACTAGTGGTTTTATTAGGCATGTTTGTATAGTTGAGGAATATATATGAGATAACATTCCTTCTATCTACGTTCTTTTTCATTTACAACTAATTCCCCGAAATCTATGAGCATTTGGGGGCATTTGTTTGTACTTTTGGTTGTACTTTTTTCGGAGTAAAAGTCTTTCAAATTTACGAAAATACATTTAAAAGTTTTATAACATTCAGAATTTTTCCCCCCTAAACATGTTATTTTAATTTGCAAATTAAAGTAGATTTTTAAAATTAAATATTATTAAATTATATTATGAAAAACGTATCTTAAAATGCTGTAAAATAAACATCTTAAATCACAAAGCTAAACACATTAAAATAAATATTTCTATTTTAAAATTAGATAATAATATTTAATGACTAATACTTTTTATCACTTTGGTAATTTTTTTCTTCAAATTAATAATAAATTTTTAAATAGGCACTGTATGTCTTTTTATAGTCTTTATTAAAAATAAAATTATATAATTTCTCTTTGACAGATAAAGTATGAGAATGTTATTATATTTTTTTTTCTATTTTAAAAGTTAAAAATAGTTACAAACTTTGTTACCATTTCTTTTATACTAACTTGATTTATAGGACTTTATTACTCTTTCTTTAAAATTAATTTGATTCTAAATTATATATATTTATAAGATTTGAAATACAATAACAACCCTTTTCTTTTTCTCGTATTTTTTTACTGTACCTTATTTCAAATATAAAACCCTTTTAGTTATCTGCATTATCTAAATTAGGAGTGTCCAAAGTCAGCTAACCTAATTATTATATGGATTGAGTTAGAAAATAAATTAACTCAATTTGATTATTATTGGTTGATTCTTCTATCTTCTGACTCGAATCATTTACGTGTGAATTAAGTGTTTCCAATCCAATTTAATTCATATTTTAAAAAGTTCAATTTTTTCAATCTATTCCAGCTCAAATTTATAGTGAATTATGTTGACTCACGTATTAGAACTCATTTTTATTTCTCTAATTCAAATAAAATGAAATGAAAATTTTGGAGAAATAAATTGTATAACAAATTGCACTTGGTACTTGTTAAAATTTAATTTATTTTAGTGACATAATTTGGCAACATATGTTATTTATGTAGCAGTAACATTAATCTTTTTGATAAGAGAATTAGTATTATATTTTTCTAAAAATTATAATTAATATGAAATGAATATATAAGAATGTTTATCATAATTTTTTTATGACATGCGAAACTTATGATAGATTTTTTCATTTTATTTTAAGTTTTAAAAAATATATTTAGTTTATAATCTATTTAAATACATTTTAATTGATTTTTTTAAGATTTACTAATATATTTAATATGTTAACCAATTTAGTATTAAACTTTATAAATGTGTCTGTCACTTGAAATTGGCCTCTCCTTGTTCGTCCTATATGAGTTTCGAAATGTCACTTATTTTTTCTTGTTTCTTGCATCATAACAAAATGTCAGACTAAACTTTATATATATATATATATATATATATATATATATATTTTACTTTTTTGTTTATATCTTTCTCTTGTTTTCATTACATAATTTATATCATTTATTGAAGCAAAATGTTACATGAATAACTTTAAACATTAACACACCTATTCAATACCTAGAAAGAAAATATTTTTAGTTTTTTTATTTAATTCTTTTTAAATTATTTTATATTTTAAAATAAAAATATAATTTTACAGGTGTTAAGTAAATGTAGAGTGAAAATTGAAGTCTTTATATATCTTCACTCTTTATTGAATTTCCCTTTATGTTGTTATCTCTCTTTTCTTTCTACACCAATAATCCACTCAACCAGAAGACGATTATGTACATTGTGACTTATTATAATAGGAAAAAGATTATTTTACACCTATAATTAACATTTGACAATCTATCAGAGGATAAAATGATTATAACAAAAAGTAAATTTTTGTATTTATAAAGAAAAATAAATAATAGTAAATGATAATATGAAATGAGTGTTAAAATTTGTTGGGCGTGGATTATAATAAGAGGGGCAAAGCATTCATGCATTACCAAGTTCAGTACATGATGTATATGCGTATATATTATTTGAAGCAGAGTTGAAGTTGAGATCTTGCACAGTATGTAGGACATATCTAACTTCACATATCCACGCATTATTGTTTTGTACCAATGCAGAAGGAGTCATGGAGCGAAGAGGAGGACAAAATCCTGATCGAAGCTCACAAGGAACTCGGGAACAAATGGGCAGAGATTGCAAGGAGAATGCCGGGAAGGACCGAAAACACCATCAAGAACCACTGGAACGCCACCAAGCGTCGCCAGAAGGCCAAGAGGCAGAGGAACAAGCGCAGGAGCTCCAAGGGGTCACCCACGCTACTCGAGAGCTACATAAGGAAAGTCACTGCGGCGGAAGAATCTGAGAAGGAGTTGAAGAACTCCATGAGCAAGATGAACCTGAATGACACCACCAAAACGGGTCTCTTTCGGGTTCGGTACGAGAGCTCCGAAGGTGACTTCAGCTCCGAGGAGGAGGAGCTTGGCTGGACCCTGCAGCACCACGTGCCATGTGGTGGCGATGGTGGTTATGTGCCAGTGATGGTGAACGCTGGGGAAGAGAGCGCCATTGATTACGAGGTTGCCATGCAGATGGTACCAGAGGTCCAGATGAGGAAGGAGATGGATCTCATGGAGATGATCTATAGAAAAGGTTAAGGTGCAGTGCTCGTGGTTTTCCCTTTCATCACATCGTGTTCCTTGTTTCTTCTGTTTGTTTTTTTTTTACTTTATCTTCAGACATCATTGAAACTGTGGGTTTTATGTTCGGTTGGGTTTGGTTGCATGCCGTGGATATTTTAGTTCCTTTGTTTTGTCTTGTGTTTTTCGATTCGAATGTGATCTTGATGCGGCATTTGTTCTGCTTATGTTTCGGCTGTAACTAAATCTTGCATGTTTTGGGTTTGCGTGGATAACTGGTTCAGACTGCCCTATTTATGACCAGTATCTAATTTAATAATTTATGTAATGCTCATTTCTTTGTGTTCATTTCAACTGTTCAACCCATATTTTATGAGGAAAAATAAAAATGAAATCAAGAACGGTAAATAAGGGTTAATACCAATTTCATTTTTTGTTTTTATAAATTGATTTTCAAAATACGTTTATATTGTTTAGTAATTTTTTTTAGTGTTTCTTGGATTTTCATCTTGTTCAACATATTCAACCCCCAGTTACTGTTTTATGTCTCTACCTCTTCCATCAAGATGAAAGTAATTGAAGGGAGGAAATTATTTTCTTCCAATCCACCAAAAATTACTTCCCCAAATTTAACAAAAAGGGAAACAATCTCACTTCTTTTCCTTATTTTTTAAGTTAAAAAACTATTTGATTTTTCATAATAATTTTTTTTTAACAAATAGAGCAATTTGATTTTAAAACGACACTTTTTTTTTAACTATAAACTATTTTTTATAATATCTGTTTATTGTTTCATTCAAACAAAGAGAAATTCTTTACTTATATTTTTCCATCTTCATATTTCTATCCTTTTATTCATATTTTTTTTCTACTTTTTTCGTTTTTCTTTTCTTTATTATGGTTCTGGTTTTAATCTTGGATTCATTGAAAAAAATTGAGGGTTCTTGAAACATGATGTGGTACAAGATGTAAATGATTTTCAGATAAATTATTTAATCCCAAAGGGGTGTAATGCTACCGTCGTATCACTCATACCAAAAAAAATGAAAACCCTATGGGCTTACATGAATATAGACCAATTTCTTTGGTGGGATGCATGTACAAGATTCTAGGTAAAATACTAGCTAACAGTAATTATATCCATCATTATTCACCGGAAACAATCGGCTTTTGTTAAGGGTAGAAGACTACTTGATAGTGTTTTAGTTGCCAATGAAGTAACTGAAGAGACTAGACAGAATGCAAACCTATGTGTAATAGTTAAATTGGATTTTGAAAAGGCTTATGACTCGGTCAAATGGGACTTTCTCTTTTATATGATGGATACATTGGGTTTTTGTACTAAGTGGATAAATCGGATTAAGGCCTGTCTGGATTAATCCATAATTTTAGTCCTTGTTAATGGTAGTCCAACTCAAGAATTCAAACCAACAATAGGGCTTCCCTTTTTTTTTCTAATAATGACAGAAGGCCTCAATGGAATTGTTAGTTAAACTAATAAGAAGCAAATGCTAGAAGGAATATTTGTAGGGACAAAATAGATAAAAGTGAATATGTTACAATTTACATAAGACATTTTGTTCTTTTGTAAAATATGAGTTAACATAGTATAGTGGCCACAAAGATATCTTGAGGTGCTATGAACTTGCTTTAGGTCTAAGAATGAATTTCCATAAGAATAAGTTAGGAGGCATTGGGATAACAGGAGGAGTTAAAAAAGGCTCTATTATTTTGAATTATTATTTTGAATTGTGATTTGATGGGTACTATTCAAATTTTTAGGCATGTAGGAGGAAATCCAAACAAGAAATATTTCTGGGAACCCTGAACAAGATTAAGAAAAAAATATCTAGGTGGAAAGGAAGATTGCTTACAAGTAGTTTAAATTATATCTATCACAAAATGTGATTACAATACAAAACAGTTTAAACACTCGTAGATATTCCCTCTTTTCTCTTACAATAGTAAGCAATACAACAATGAAGTTTGAGAGGATTTCTTTTCTCTTTTTCTTTTCTCTTCCTTTTCTCTTCTTCAGTTCAGATGTATTCTTTTTCTTGAGCTTTTTGTTTTCTTCTATCTTGAATGCTTGTAGGATGGATGTTTTGTTGTAAGCTTCTCACTTGCCTATTCTCTTAAGCTATCCTTTTGATTTTTCTTTCGAAAGTTCTTCTATTTAAATGATTCATGAGTATTTGTCTGTTAGAGTAAGCTTTTAGTCTTGATACTTGTGCTTTCTCTTTCTTCTTTGTACAACAACCGTTAGATAAGTCAACTTGTCAGAGCAGACATGTTTTTTCAGTACTTTGCTTGAAATATGTTGTATGTTTCCTTTAGGTATGGCTTCAAGTGAAGAATATTTTGTGAATATCTCCTTTGTCTCTAACGTTCACTTTTGATATTTGATTTGTAGCTTTGTGGATGCAGCAAATATGTTTTTTCTTATCACTTTTGTTGATTTTAAATGTTGAGCAATTAATGTCATTTAATGATTGCTCAAAACAACAAAGTGTTTTTGATTTCCTACCGTCAGTTGAATTTTTTCGATTAAGCTCTTTTCTAAATATACCAAATGTTGTATAGAGTCTTCATCGTTGGACGAAGTATTGTTTAAGCTCATGGTATCATTTAGTCAAATAAACACTTCTTTTGGTTTTGTCTCTTTTCAAATAGATAGCGTTTAGGTTATTAAAGCTTTTTTTTTTTAATTTTAATGATTAAAGTCTTTTTCCATGTTTTGTCAGAGACATCGTCTCGACTATTTTGTTTCCGAGAGTTATGTTGAATACCTCTTTCAGGCATGATGAGCATCAAGCGTTTTATTTCAACTCTCTTAGACGCTTTAGGCATAATAGTGTTTAGCCATGTGTCTGGGTGTTTTAACATATATGTTTTTCTGTTACCAAAAATCCTAAGTGGTTTCCTAAGCTTTTCTATGTTGTGGATTCTAGTTCTAAGTCTTTGTGTAGGTTTTCTATCTTTGGGGATTATGGTTCTAGGTCTTGTTTTTTCACCTTAAGTTGTTTTTGTAAGACCCGGAAAAATAGGGGTCTTAGAAATAAAGTAGTCTTGAGACTGTGGTGTTTTTGTTTGGTAATTAGTGTTCTTGAGTGTACACCTTTGTTAGAACATAATTGTTATGTTATTTCTTTTATTTTATTTATATTTTTGCCTAGGGGCAAAATGATTTTTTACCTTTTATTAATTAGGTGTAAGAAAATAAAATAAGGGGTGTAGAAAGAAAAAGCATGCAAATTAAATAATATGGAAAATTAATAAAAAGATATTATGTAAATCTTTTAGAAGTTTTTGTTATTTTAAAAAGTAGTTGAAATAAAATAGAAGATATAATTTTGGTGGGTTTAGATATTTAAAAGAGATGTTATTATTATTATTATTATTATTATTAGATATTGTAGATATTTTAAATGACATATTGAGATATTATTATATATAATTAGATATTATGGCTAGATAATAATAATAACATATATATTATTGATAGACTCATTATAACAAATTAGAAAAAAATGTATTTTAAGTGAGAAAGTATTAGAGATAGAGTTGGATTGATAAAAAATAAGATATAGAGAAAGGGGTCGTTTTGTGTTTAGAAACCCTAGAAAACTCTAAATCAAAGAGAGAAACAGAGGAAGAGAGGAGATTGACGTTTTTGGAGAAGAAGAGAGAGAGTAATGGGAAACTCTTAGTGCAAAAGAAGATTGGCGGTGTTTTAAGGTTATAGATAAAGTCTTAGGATTGACCAAGGTATGGGGAAACTTACCTTTATTTGTTTATTGTTGTATGATAGTATTCTTGGTTATTTTAAATTGATAATCCTTGTTGGTACATGTTTGTATGATTATGATTATGATTATATATTGCTATTGTTGGGCAAGGGTGTGTATGCATGAGCATAGGATTTACGAAATATTTGTGTTGGATTTTCCCAATGAATGTATGTATGTTTTGTTGGGTTATCCCAATAGAGGGTTTGATGCTAAGGAAGAACAAAGTTATGATGCTTGAGGGTTTCCATGCAAATATATGTTATAATAGTGTTGTGATAATCATATGATGTAAATTTAGGTTTATTGGGGTATAACATGTATGATGATTGGGTTTGGATGATGCAAGTGTTATGATGTATGTATTTGAGTATGTTTACATGGATATGTGATGCTTGAATGCACGTATCGTGTGTTGAGTATGTTTTCACATGATTTACAGTTGATGTATGTATGTTTGAATACTTGAATTTTATCCATAATGTGTTTCGTTGCGACAATAATCAATTATCATTAGTTATAATCGATTATCTACACATCAATGTTGAGTTTGGTTGCAGGAATAATCGATTATCTGGGACGATAATCGATTATCCCTTTCTGCATGATGTTTCATGGTAATAATCTTTGAGATAATCGATTATCAAAAGTGATAATCGATTATCAAAAGTGATAATCAATTATCACAGTGTATTTTTGGGAAAAATGGAGAATTTGATGAAGAATGGCGTGCACCAAGCCTAGGAAGCAGTAGAACGCGTTCGTACTCAAGGAATGAGATTAATGGGTATGTTTAGAGTTAGTTTTGACTTGTGATTGCGAGTGGAGCATGAGTGAAAGAGGAATGCATAAGAGTGTGTGTGATTAATGAGCATGAGGCATGGGAGATTAGTCTACTTGTTGTACCTAGTAAATATTGGTTCTATCTGCAAATAGGTACTCCCTTTGGCATTGGTTGTTGAAAAGGGGGTGACTCTTTTTGGCATTGGTTGTTGAAAAAGAGAGTGACATTCTCTTTGGAAAATAGTTGTAGAAAAGAGAATGGTGTTCGAGTGCTGAATCTTCTGTAGTGAGGGGGTTAGATGTTCTGCTTTATGTGATAGGAGAACATGTCCAAAGCCAGAAGAAGGATGACTCGAGTGTACCTGTATGGGGAAGCTACATATGGGGCTGTAGGAGTGGCTACAGTCAGTGAGGTAGGGTATAGGGGTGTAACTGAGTCTTGTCATGATGAAGTTCATGGTTTGGTGATGCTCATGGTGTGAT